AGTTTTCTTCTTCTCTTCCTTGAATGTAGTTTATTGTGCAGTTTTAGCTTCTGCCCAAAGACGTGTAACGCCATCGTTAACGACTTCGAGAACTTCATGATACCCAAACAAAACTTTCATTTGTTTGCACCATTTGTCATAGTTCTTGGAATCAAGAATTGGAAGGTTGGTGGGGATTCGATCACTGGAACAGTATACATAATTTGCAACGGATTAATGGAACAGAACCAGAGCTCTTGATGTCAAATGTTAGAACAAGCACAACATGAAGCTGGTGAATTATTGGTGAAAATGGTTAATTGGAAAAGATGAAGTTGAGAGAGAAAGATAGAGAATATGAGTGAGAGTGAGAGAGAGAGAGAGAGAGAGAGAGAGAGAGAGAGAGAGAGAGAGAGAGAGAGAGAGAGAGAGAGAGAGAGAGAGAGAGAGAGAGAGAGAGAGAGAGAGAGAGAGAGAGAGAGAGAGAGAGAGAGAGAGAGAAGAGAAGAGAGAGAAGAGAGAGAGAGAGAGAGAGGAGAGAGAGAGAGAGAGAGAGAGAGAGAATAATGAGGAGAAAATTATAAATTGGCATTAACACAAAACATATTAAAAGAGGGAGTATTTATAATGTGCTAAAAAATTAACACAAAACAAAACACACACAAAAAAGATGCTACAAACAGCAAACAGAAATTCGCAGCAAAAACCGATTTCCATAAATGAGAAAACTGATTTCCTCTTCAAAAATTCCAATTTCTACACAGGCCAGAGCAGCTTTTCAAATAAGTTGTTTTCCCAAAACAGCTTCCAGAGGCTTCCAAACAGCATTTGACTTATACGTAACATCCAATACACCACCTTATGTCAAGTTGCTCAACATTCCTCATGCTTAAACTCCTCACAAGCTTCTTGAACACACCATTTGTCACACATTTCGTCAACAAATCCGCAAGTTATTCTTCGCTTCGATAGTATCCTAACTTCAGCTGGCCTTCACATACCAACTCCCTCAAGTAATGAAATCTCATATTTATATGCTTGCTTCTCCCATGTGCAATGGGATTCCTTGCAAGGTTAATAGCTTAAATATTGTCAACCAAGAGGGTAACAATTTTTCCTTCATTGCTGCCCAGCTCCCTTAGCAGATTCATAAGCCACACAACCTGACACACACACATCGACGCGGCGATATACTCCGCCTCACAAAAAGAGAGTGCAACCACAGGTTCCTTTTTAGAGCACCAAGAGATTGGAGCTCCGCCAAACATAAATACATAACTAGTCGTAGACTTTCGATCATCCTTATCTCTGCACCAATTTAGAATTTGTATAACCGAGTAACTCGCAATTTCTGCCTGTATCAGCTGCAAGAAAGAGAATTCCACACCCAATAGTTTCTTTGATGTATCTTAGGATCCTCTTAACTACTTCTAAATGAGAAAGCCTTTGGTTTCTCTAGGAATCTACTTGCAATACCGACATTAAACGCCAAATCTGGCCCGCGTATTGCACAAGTAACGCAATGATCCAATCAACCTCCTATATTTAGTTGGATCTATATCTTGCTCATCCTCACTTTTGAACAGCTGCAACCTTGTTTCAGCCGTGTTATGGCAGCATTACAATGCTCCATATCACACTTTTTCAAAATCTCAAGAGCATACTTTCTTTGATGCATAAGCAACCCCAATTTTGACTTATGGAATTCTATGCCAAGAAAGTAAGTCATGATTTCAAGGTCACTCATTTCAAACTCTACCATAAGCTCACTTTTGAACTTAGAAATATTCACTTCATTGCTGCCCGTAATTAATAAGTCATCCACATATAAGAAAAGTATAATCACTTCTTTGCTTGCATTCGTCTTCACATAAACACCATGTTCAGGTACAAACTTCTTCAAGCCAACCTCAACTAGAAATGCATCTATGTGTTTGTTCCAAGTTCTAGGTGCTTGTTTTAAACCATAGAGTGTCTTTTTCAATTTGTAGACTCTTCCCTCTTGATTCTTCATCATAAAACCAGGGGCTGCTCTACATAGACTTCCTCCTCAAGTGAACCATTCAAAAATGTAGATTTTACATCCATTGATACATTGGCCGATTATTTGCTATTTGCATACCAACAACCATCCGTATAGTCTCCAATCTAGCCATCGGAGCAAATACCTCATCATAGTCTATACCTTCTCTTTGCGAAAAATCCCTTCACAACTAATCGAGGCTTTATGCTTGACAATTTCGTCTTTTGGATTTGCCTTCACTTTATTGTCTCATTTCACTCATATTGGCTTTTTTCAATTCCGGTAAATAGACCAGCTTCCAAGTACTGTTATTCTCAATCAACTCCAGCTCCTCTTCCATCGCACACACCCACTTTGAATTTCTTAATGCCTCCTTCGTGCTCACGGGCTCAGATCCGGCCATAAGCACAACAGTGAATAAGATCACCATCATTATTGATCTCATTATCATCGAATACTTCATAATCTCAGAGCCTTTGAGATAGACCTCTGTGTCTTTTTTGGTCGTCTACTGGATTCATCACTTTCAAATTCAACCGGTTACGGAACT